GAACGAACAGCGGACCATGAGACTGGTACCCAAGCATACTCAGGGTTAAAAAAGCCATATAAGATATGCGAAATATGATCATATAAGATATCACTCCGTGTTTTCGAGGCGGATGGCCTAAACAAGACTGTAGATATGAAAAAGGGTGTTTGCCACTTTGACAAATTGGTTAAAGACAAATTATTCTTCCTAGCCTTATATGGTAACCACAATACAACAGATATCATTCAGGAGATCAGGAAGCAACACATATAAACAAGATAACAACAGAGCTGCATTTACTGAATGAACTGTCTTTTCAATAACACTGTAACCTATGCGTCATAGCAAAGTATCGAACAATTGGTAGTCCAGGGGTAATCGTGCAACCGGAGACAGGCAATGATAAACAATAACAGCCAAAAATAATGACCACAAACAAGAGCACAAACTGGAATATAACCTTGCATGCACTGTCTACTTGCCTTGATCGTCTAAACAGTCATCTGGCAGTTGCGGTATTCCGAGGTTCGGATCAATTTCCTGCATAAATCACGCAATTAGTATTGAATAAATTATTAAAGAAATACCATCGCGTATAAATTTTTGAAGCCGTTGACGACAGACGGAGTTTTCCCGAACTTCTGATTGAATGCATCTGACAGATTATGTGCCGGATCAGTAGAAATTATGAGGACGCTTTTTCGAACTTTGCTAAGCTGTGCGGCCAGACTGCAGCTGCAAAAAAATCAAAAGATACACAGTGAGAACTTTGAAGAGGGACTTATAACAATGCTAAAAATCGAACGTTAGGAAATACAGTTATTTACGGAATAAACTTCCGTTACTTGAAATGCTGGCTTTTCCGTACCAGTTGATTAGGGAATGTGAAACAAAGAAAACTTTCAGAAAAACTGAAAATTCCTGCGTCTAGCATGTTTCAAAATGCAACGAATCTACTGGCGATACGGAATCGGGCATTTCAGCAATCAACAATAATTCAAGTAAGTCATCAAATCAGACAACATTCTGAAAACATGCAATGCGCTTTACTAGTCATTCGGCATTCAATGACAACGACGTCTCGTAACTTGTCAGCGACTCTGTCGATTTATACAAGATAAATAATTACGTTAATAAAACGATAAGAATGAAATGAACTTCATCGATAGAAATCTTACCATTTGATGACAGGTAGAGCAGAAATCAGACACTGAACGCCTTGGACAACACTGACAATGTCCATCATAGGACCACAATCAACGGAGACAAAAAGTCTGCGGTATATAAATACCATAAACTTAAATTAGAGATACATAAAAGGTACAAGATAAAGGATAAAATATAGTAGTAGGATAAATACATAAAGGATAAAATATTTTATAACAAGGTACCCTTGTCTATAGCTGAATGGTACCATCTTTAGTTTTCTGCGCCACCACCGATATGAAACAGAATTCTTAACAGGTATATCTCAAACTGAGAATCAGTATTTTCGTCACCTTAACGGAAATATCGTCAAGAATTTAAACTTTTGGTGAGACATTCAGCTGGTGAAAAGTCAAGTGGCTTACAAGTGAGAAATAGGAAAACTATAAAATTTTCTGATGAACAGAAACCGCACGTTTTACATCAGGAATATGTACGTGTTGTAGCATGTGGTACATTTTCTAACAAGTACTTCCACCAATCACATCACATTCATTACGACCGTTGCGCTAACGAACTACCGCATTTGGCAATTAAAGCGTTGAGCGGTAGCATAACTGATGAATTTGTTCAAGCAAGCTATTTGGACCATATACCCTACGATATTCCTCTTGATCGTAGATAGGAAAGCAACGACAGAAATTCACCGGGAAATTATATAGCCGCCAGCAGTGGTCTGTAGGCGGGAACTTCTATTGTTAGCCTCGTCACCTAGACAAACAGGGCAGTTTTGTGATGGTTACGTTTGAAATTTTCTTACAGGTCATGTCACCTGATCTTGAGGAGTCATATTTGACTGCTCAGGAAGAAAGCCAGAAATTTGCTCATGTATAACTTCTGCAGCGTCAAGATCTCCACTCCATAAAGCTTCATGAGAAAAAATGTAAGAATGGCATAAAGGCGGTGGCTTAAGGGCGATACGGAGAGATGGAATGACTGGATTCTGCAACATCCTACGAGTTACCGAAGTAGTGAAACTGCGCGTGGTACATTCATAAAACTATTGAAAGGTTGTACTATAACAGTATCGAAGCCCAGGTCCAAGGTCGCAAGATCCAACATACTAACGGATCTGCTGAATCCGCAAATGGCATTCACTAGAGTTTATGTGACCCAGCATTCCAGTGATGAAATCAGCTAACAAAATGTTTCAAGTTGGAGTTTACCTTCAAAAGCACATAGTTTTCTTTTTTCCTTTTACATATTCCTACCGCTATAACCTTAAATTACCCCTCTACTGTCTTCGTAACACAGTTTTGGTTAAGCGACTTTCTCGTCCTTTTTGTGAGTATAAATTCCCAACTGTAACGCAAAGCGAACAGGCGTTCATCAAGAACAATTAACCATTTTTGCGACGAAGCGATATACTAATTTGTAATATGCTTATCTGAGTTCCCTTTTTCGATTAAGATACAGAAGGGAACTGATCGACTCGAGGTTACGATTACACTGAACTGACAAATTGTAACGCCTGGCGAGATCCGCTTTAGGGCAGTTGCGCCATCAAATTCTAGTGCTCTGCCAGCACGATCCTTTTAAGACGTTACCGAACACTTTGAGGCACTTCAAAAAGGAACTCCAACAATCGTCACGACTGATGACCTTTACATTCTATCTGATCAACCTCCGGCAGTCGGATCTCCAGCCAGTATTCATAAAGTGATGGCCCCTCCGCATCACAGATCAATTAAATGAGAACCATGTTGCTGAGGGTTTTGCGCTCTAAAAATCATCCTCTCGTCCTTTAACGCTGGGAGCGAACAACGATCAAAGGGACTGCTCGGCAGAGTAAAGTGCAGCGGGGTTTGTTCTCCCTTAGCAGCTACGGTAATCGTGAGGGCTCGTCGTGAAAGTCAAAACGCTAGGTCAATGATGCCCAGGTGGATTATTATAAAATACTGTTTGGTCGTCAACCACCCAGTAATTGTAAAGCGGCTGTCGCGGTTCAGTCAGTCGATAGATGAGATTTCTTCCGTGGAAGTCAATGGCGGCCTCTGATTTAAAAACAGGCACCTGCTCACACTGGAACAACTTGGCTGTTATACCATGCTTTACGTCTCTCTGGCTACGCGGAGACAGAGAAAAGGACAACCAATAAAAAGACATGAACTTTTAAACTACTACGCCAGGGTTACAGCCCTTGGCTCATCAGCGCAGTGACCTGAGGACATGCTCCAGACTGGCGTAACTACTCTCGCGTCGACTAAGTGAACAGAATTTTTTTAAATCACTGATTAGAATGCTCTGCTCTTTCTTGTCTTCCCATGTTTCGAGCTGTCCACGCATCGTAACGGTAGGTATTAAACTGAAAGTAAAATCCACTCGGATCAGTTAGATCAGAAAGTATTCAGCGACGAATCGCGTCGGCCGCAACACACATGTCATTCCTCCCGGTTTCGAGCCTTCTTCATTCAAGCGCGGCTTTCTTTGCTACTGAAATAATCTTCCAACTGTCATGGTGGGTAATCAGCCCACGAGGGTACTAGTGAACAATTATCACCGACCATCGTTCGTCAGTGAACCAGGCTACGTTCCCGGCCTACCGTAGCTTCTTTTGTCTACTTTCGACGACGACGTTCTTTACTCCCATCCGCTGTTCTGATTACGGTGTTTTGAGATGTGGTCGCGACGTGAAACGCACAGCATTTTTCATTCCATGGCTCTCTCGGTAACAGTTAGCCGGCATTTTTGCGCCTTTGTGAGTGACCATGTTTTAGCCGTAAACATTGCTGGCAGAACGCTACAATTGAAAAGGTGGGTGCGGGTTTCTTTTCTAATGTTACCGAGGAGGACATCATTGAAGGAATGGTTCTACCGCCAGCCAGCCATTATCTTCGTTGAATCTCTCTAGCCTGATCATGCCGCGTGTTAATCTCATTGCCCACGTAAATGTATTTATCGCCTTCGATCTTTTCGCCGTATAATATTACCTGGGCCCTCATCAGGGTAGCCGAGAGCAGGACCGTCGCCTTTTGAGCAACTAATTCGCAATCCTATCTCTGCAGTTCACCTGTCGAGCTCTTGCAGCATGTCTTGTAGCCGAATAGCGCTTTCCGCAAATAACACCACGGCATCAGTGAACCTCACGTGGCAGAGCTGTTCATTATTTATATTAAACCCGCCCTTCCATTTCATCCTCCAGAGCACCATTTCCAAACAGCCACTGAAGAGTTTGGGGGAGACTGAGTTCCACTGTTTCACGCTCTTCTTTACGGGAATTCGGAGGAGGGTGTCAAATAGCCTGATATTTGTGAAGCATCCGGAGTTCGCTTCCTTTAGCAGGTTGATGAAGTTCGTCGATTCCATGTTCTGTCAGTGCAGTACACGCAGCACTATACTCAACAGTGTCGAGCGCTTTCTTGTAGTCAACGATGGTTATGCACAGAAGAGTCTTCGGGCGTCCGAGGAGCTGACTTAGGGTAAAGAAGTTATCCGTTGTGCCGTAGCTCCTTCGGAAAACTGCTGCTCTCATTTGTTGCCGAATCGCCTAGATTTTTTGACAGTGCGCTGGTAATGGTATATATGCACAGCTCCTAGACTTGTGAGAGCAGGCAGATATGACGATAGTTCTTTAGATGTTACTTCTCGCCTTTCTTGAACGAAATGATTGTATTTAATCCGCTCCAGCTTTATGGCATCTTTTCCGATTTCCAGATAGCAAATGAACCTCTTTGATAAAGCCTTCCACAGCGTCTGATCACCTACTCTGAACATTTCAGCTGTCAGACTGTCTCTCTCTCTCTGAAGCTCTCCTTCCTTAATTTGCTGTAAGGTATGCCGAATCTCGCCTATCAGGACTTGGAGTGCAATTCCTTCTGTCTGTTGAGGTGATAGTGGGGGACACGTGCCTTTGATGCAAAGAGCTGTGTGTAAAAGTTCCTGCAGATAGACTGCAACTCAGCTCTGTCAAACGTTAGTACGCCATCACCATCCTTCAACGAC